TAAAGTACAACTTCTTCTCTCTATACATATAATGCACATTTCACCCTAAGCTTCATATAATCATATTCAATGGATATTCAACCGAACAAAGAACGAAGCGTGAAGGTGCGCTTCCAAAGAGATAATAGTCGCGCGAATAGGATAAAATCCTCGAAATATTAGAATGTGTCGAGAGGAGTAGAATGGAAAAAGTGGAGCGAAGAGAGATCTGCGCACGTATCGAGAGGAGAATCGCGGTATCCTTAAAGAGACTCCTTCCTCGGGATCCTTATAATTTCCAGGATCCGAGAAACTGAGAACATTCCATGGTGAACAGGAGTTTCGCGGATCGAATATCGAATATACTATATAGCAACCTCTCATGCTATGTCCCGGGACGGAGTATCTTCGTGACCTAACTCTCGGGGAAGAGTTGGAAAGTTGTTTCTCTCTCAGACGCCAATTCCAGGAAGAAAATGAAGACGAACAAAGAAAACTGCCGGCGCGGCGGAGAGATTCCTACTCGGATTTTCATCCGCGCGGATTCTAATCTGTACTTTCTCTCCGGGAACTGAAGAAGGAACTGAAAACATTTACAGTCGGCTCGAAACTCAACTTCGCACGACCATCAATCCGACTTCTACCCTCTGCCATCGTGCGCCGGCAAATTTATCAATCTCGATGTCGACGCGCACTGTCGAGACATCCATTCTTCAGCTACCAGAATGAACGATCTCGTCTCACTCTCTCTTGGCGCGATCGTAAGCAATTTGTCAAATCACGCTTGTTTGCCCTAAGCACTTCCCGTAACTTCGCGGATAAGTTCGGCGAACCCCGCTCGTCGTCGTTGTCGCGTTCTTCGGTCGCGGCACTAATTAAAGGTCGCGTATTGTCAGGAGGAGAGCTTTGTTCGCATTTCAATTACGGCCCGGTCGATTTCGTTGAATGAAGCTACGAGCCAATCCGGAAGGTCCAGAGCCCCTCTCGGTCTACATTGTTCTTATCCCTCTTGTTCATCAGGAATTCGACCGCTTTAAGACACGAGATATGTTTGATATAGTACCTGTGCCTGAATACTGTGCGAAGATTTACTTCTAGACGAATATTCTCGAAAAGCGATTATCGTGTTTCGTCTGACACATTGCATTTCTTCAAACGATGATTAAAAAATAGATTAAATAAAAAGTTCAGATAAAAAATTGCTGCAAAACTTGTTTTAATACGTACTGTTGGATTTTTGGCAAATTTCTTTGTTAAATCAATAGAATTTTTGTCATCAGTCCGGTGAATTATTGGACGATGCGCGAAACTTTTATTTATAAGGATGCAAAATGATCGTAAAAGGATTCGCGGCTCAGCGCCTTGCGAATTCTTTGACAAGGTGAATTATGACGATCGTTAGGCGGATTGATTTCGTCGCGTGCAGAAGTTTAAATTCACTGACATTGAATTTCGCGAATTGAATCGCAAGCCTATTCGTGTTCGTCGTGTCGTCAATCTTCGTTCCGAGCTTCACCGCAGCTCCTGTTCTTACCCGAATATGGGGGTCGCCGCAAATAAATAAAAAAAAAGAGTGAACGAATAGCAGATAGAAGTTCCGTACAGTTTCGATAGATTGATCGAATCGCATTTCTTATTTATTCTAAACTTTTATGTGCAAATTTTCTGATAGATATTTGCACCAACGTCAAAATTCTCCATGTTATTTTTTATCAAATATTTTCCAATAATATCGCATTTTTATATTGAATATCTCTTGGATTAAATCTTTAATCGCAAAAAATTCGCATGTGAGGAGAAAATCACCCACGAGATCTATAAATCTCGATTGAGCGAGAATGTAATTTTTATTAATATAAATCATCAATTATTTTTGCATTTATTTGTCAACGACGCGAATCAAGAAAATGTATAAATTTGAGATTCAAAATATCGAATTGCGTTGATTCAGTATTTTCCTTTCAAATTTTGTTGAAAAAGAGATGGAACTCTCTCTGTATATCTTATATTTATTTATATTCATTTTATTTCGACTTCTTTCCGCGAGCTCTTATTCTTCACCTGCGCGATTCACGGAATATAAAACAGACGTGTCTCCGAAGATTTCCCTGAATAGTGATCATTAATACAAGTTTGCGCAAAGAACGAAGCACTGGCGGAAAAGAGGCGACCTCGTCGCCGGTAACGAGCGAAATTAATAAAACGCCACTGTTTGCGAATGTAATTTGCGGGATGGAATCAACGTCTATTTAAGTCCTGATGAAATTACCGGCCGGTTAGAGACAGGTTAGAGAGAGCTTCAAAGGGACGGGATAATATTCATTCATAAATTCTGTCTGCCCGAGGCGAGCACGAGAGCAAGATGGAAAGGAAGGCGCCGCAAGACAGGCAGGGATCAGATTGGGGCGGCTGTGAGAGGCGAGTCGATACTAATTAATCTAATTAACGAGGCAAATTTAAGCCGCAAACCGATCCTAATAGCTTTTTTAACTCACTTTTACGAACAAAATGATTAATATTTTGACCGAGTTTGTTGGATTAGCTGTTGAAAGCGCACTGTACAAAGAACGGGTTATAATTTACTGAGATTTTACTGAAAACAGAAAATGTATCAATCTAATTAACGACGCATCTCTCTCTCTCTCTCAAAGAAAAAATTTCGTTCTCATTTAGGGAATATAATTTTACCTACAGAAATTAAATTCCACACACACACACACACATAAAAGCAAGAGAAAAAATAAAAATAAGAAAGTATGTCATTTTGCAATTTGTGAAAAATAAAAATTATACTGGAAATTATATCCTTTTGTTTATTGTATTCGAGAAACTTACAGAGTACTATTTTCTATTTAAAAATGTTTACGAGATAATTAAACGGGTTGTTAAAAACACAATATTCGAATATTGAATTTAGCAGTCTTCGATTCTTACGATAAAATATGACGGGAACGCATAGCCGAGTTTGCGTCGAAACTGTGACGAAACAGCCTGTTTCGGACTTTCTGCGTAAAGTCTGCTAACGCACGCAGTCCATATCCTCGCGGTTTTCACTAATTTCGTAACTAATTACGTCTCCTTCGAACTCGATAGGACCGCTGGCATGAGAACTATTTCGATCCCTTTGAAAGCTACATTTCGGGTTTGTTCATGGAAATGCTATGAGAAACCGCAACGCGTAACTCGTTTCGGTCAATAACTCGACGTATTAAAATATTAAAAATATGGCTGATCATCGCACAACGTGTTTTTCGTAGATATATAGAATGGTCAACATTTTATTATTATTATCCGGCGTGTAAAATTATTTTTCTCTTTTTTTTATAATATGTATAACATTTTACAAATAGAGATTAATTAAATGATACACGGAGAGAACAATACGTTTACTGGAAAAATTTTATAAAAGTTTTTCTGATTAATATTTATCACAATAAAAAATATTAATATGTACATATAGTAAAATTAATCGAACGTATTTTATATCTTATTGCGGTAGATATTAATATTTTTTACTGTGATAAATTCAAAGAAAAAAATTTTCTGCGTACGTCATTAAATAAATATTAATATAAAGTAAATAAAGCAGTTGTTTCTTATCGAATTTATCTTAAAATGCACGACGGAGTGCAAAAAGTGCTCGAGTTCCCGGAGAGTCGCGCGACGCGTGGCGTTTAATTGCGCCCGATGTTTTGCCGATCCCCCGATTTTAAAATTCCACGAATCCTTGGTAAAAAGGACTCGAGAAGGAAAAGCGAACGGATGGTGCAGCGGAAGCTGGACGTGTAGCGCACAATACCGGCTGCAAAATCTCCCTCCCCGTTTGGAGAGAGCGACGTTAGTTTTCCGAGGTGCCCGGGTCGCGGTTTATTCGCCGTCGATCGATCGTTAAATCGTGCGTGACGATGAATGCCGGTCCGGGGTGAGACCGACGAGACACAGGATGAAAAGCGTCAGGGAAGATCGTCCGAGGGATTTTTCAGGATTGCGTTTAGTATGCATGTGCGCGCAGTGAGATTGTCAATGTGTGTGTGTGTGTCTGTAAGGGTGGCGCATTATTTCCGGAGTGGCGAACAACGAGTCTCGAGCGGGGTACATTAATTGACTATAAATTCAGTAGTCTGTCTCTTTTTCTCCTTCTTCCTCTCTCTCTCTCTCTCTCTCTTGCTTGGCATTAATTTGGCTATCTCGAGAGCGGCTTTCGTCGTCCGCGGCTGCTCGCGACTACAAAAGGAGCGAATCGCCGTTAACGAAGCGCCTTAAACGCGCGCTATTTAGCGCGCCCCGCAACGAAAGCGAGACGACGAACGGGTTCGGGCTGCTTGGCAAGAGTAATTGATCGTTAAATGCATTTGCATCGCGGCGCGGTCGTTGTTTCGCCGCCGCTCGGATAAGGATTATACCGACGCGCTTACACCGTAATTGTCGCGTTTCGTAACGTGATAAACAAGCGCTGCTCCAGGCGAATGAAATATTCATAATGTAAAATATGTATGTCCAATGTATACAGCATCCGAGAGAGAATCTCCTCTTTTCTTCTCTTTTGATAAATAATACAGCAAAATTTATCATAGAAATTCGAACAATTTCCAAAGTTTCGAACTATAGTGTTTCAAAACTAGTGGAAAAGTTTTTAATGGTAGATCATCCTGGTATCATTCGGAGACGATTTTTCCTCGCCAAAAATGTCGAGACACCAATAATTTTTCGATTTATATGCAGTTAAAGGCTTTGTTGGAAACTAAGTCTTGTGGAATCAAAATTAATTTTAGATAGAGTTCGCTTTAATAGGATTTTAATTTAAGACTTAGTTATAAAGATACATAATAACAAAAATTGGGAACATGCTACAAATGATGGCCTCCCTCAACATTTTCACCAAAGAAAAATCGTCTATATAAATGATACCATGCAGGAATTTGACATTAAAAACTTGTCTGCCAGTTCTGAAACACCCTGTATAAGTCGTGAATGTTTCGCAACGTTGTTCTAATGAGACACAATAATATATTATTTTGCAGGTCGGACGCACGACTCGACTTACACTCTGTACAGATTAGGCGAGAGACTATCTACGGGCGCTAGATTGTACGTAGAAACCGGAAGAGCCGATGGATTGGACACGGATGGGGATTCGCCTAATAGCCTCCACTCCTTTGCGGGTCCGCCGATACCTCAAGGCGAAGGCACGAGCGTTACTCGGGCCTTCTTGGATGGCAATCACACTCTAATTAGCATTATGGCTCGCATCAATCCCAGTCCCGATTGGTTCGTAGGCGTGGATTCCTTCCAATTGTGCGTCGAAGGCAATTGGGTCGATACCGTTACCGTCGAGGTAATTACGTCTAGCAATAGCCAAATTAATGTGCACGAAACGTGCGAATACGCGTGAAAATTGTCCGGAGCGAGAGGATGTTGAAATATATATTTTTCCCCCTTTTTTCAAAATGAGTTATACCATCAATATTTGTCAGTCAACATAAAATTGAAATCCTAAAAATATGGAGAGAAATTATTTCTACATTACATCAATATTATTCGTTCAATATTATTGTATCGTTTGCATTATTTGTAAGCAAGGCGTATCAGGCGGTTTAATTTACATGCTGTTACAAAATACCCGCATGCGCAAATACAATGTAAATCGCGTTTGACTCAGCTTCCGGAAAGTCAGACGTCCGCGCGTATATCGCCGCCTGTCGCGCAAAATATAATTTATATACATTTATCTTCGCGAGTCCGCGTCGCGCGATTCTGTCATTTCGTTAAAATCCGCGAATGCTTGAAAAATGCACGTCGCGGTTTAAACCACCCACCGCTGTTCCTTTTTCAACAGCTCGACCCGCTGGACGGAGGCACGGATAACGGCTTCACATTCACGGCTGCCAACTGGCCGACGCAGCCCCAAGGAATCGCTTACAGGATCACATCCCGATATCCGGCACATCCCGCGGGAAGCTTCTATTATCCGAATCTACCTCGTCTGCCGCCGATAGCTACCTTCACATTCACCAAGGTACGTACTCAATGTTCATACTACTACATATACACGACCCTTTATTCCCCGTTATTAATCGATCTCGCGAGATAATTATTTATATCGTCGATTTTCAAGTAAAATTCATGCATAAATCAGTATTTGGGTATATAATTATCTTGATATAAAATTTAAAAAATTTTTGCTCTCGGCGTAAAGTCATGCAAGACTTTTAATAAGATAAATGAATTTGTGTATCAATTATTTCTGCAAAGCCTTTTTTCAAAATACAAGAATATATATATACGTTTTTAATAGCTCGATATTATCTCGTTCAGTTATACATTTAATGTTTCGATTTCATGAGAGAGAGAAAGAGAGCTCTTTTGTCGTTTGATAAAATACTCATACAACGCGCAGCAGCCCATTAAAAGAACATCGGGCTTCAGTAATAGCCATTAATTTATTTCCTCGATATTGATATTGCTGCATATAATAAATGCGCTGACAATATCAGAGTTTCAGCATAAAACTGATTAATTGCAATTCTCTGTTTAAACAATCTAATAATTCTTCTTATGCGAGATGACCCGATAATATGGGCCCGATAATGCGAGATCGGATATTGCTCCATTGTGCCAATTTTCGAGTATCTAGTACAGAGTATAATATCGAAATTATATATTTCCGCTGATCTTTAATAAAAACGCGAAATGTTAATTAAAAATATTTTAAATATTTGTTCAAAAAGATAATAACGACGTGACTTTTTTCTCGATATTTCACGATAGATGAGTTTCTTTTTCGAAATAAGATTGCTGAGCTGTTTTGCCCTCGTCATCCCCGCACCACTTTTCTTATTGCTGGCATTAAATACATTTCTGACGCGCAAGAAGGGTGGCTTGGCTCAACGTAAATATTTGTTTTCCGAAGCTGTACGAACAGACTCCTCCACCTTGCGTTCCTGCAAACATGGAAGAAGCTATCTTCGCGAAGTATCTTCCGCCTCATTGCCAAACTGATATCTCTAACCCAGTTTTTTTTATCCAAGGGTTAAATATTAACATTACGGCAAAAATTATTCTTAACATAAAATTCTGTTACGAAATCTGAATAAATTTTAAACACAAAGTAAGTACTTTAAACGAAACGTTAATAATACATGAAGGAATACACGTTTTTAATCATCGTTTAACGAATATTGAGCAATCGATATTTTAATAAGGATTTTAAACGTGTCAAGAGTTTATAATTAATAAAACCTTGTAAATACTTTAATCCCGATGTCGTGAAGATTCTGTTCAAACATGAACACTTAAAACGATCGAAAATTCAGAGGACGAGATGCAGTCTCTCAAGATTCTCTTTTTTCTCTCCAACCGCAACATGACACTTGCGGTAAGTTATCGCCGGTAACGAAATTTGAGAGGCAACGACTCGTATTAACTCGTTAATTATCTCTACCTACGGTCTTATCCTATCTCTCTCTCTCTCTCTCTCTCTCTCTCTCTCTCTCTCTCTCTCTCTCTCTCTCTCTCTCTCTCTCCCTTATTCCGGTTCTTCCTCGCCATCCGTCTCTTTGCTTCCAACCTCTCTTTGACTCGTGTCACTCTCTGCCTCCATTTAGAGCAAAGGGACGGTCCGCCTACTAAATTCCTCTCCCTTACTCTCGGGCCCATTTACCACTTAATTACCAAACTTTTGTCGCTAATCCGATACCCGTTTCTCGCGCAACTCGTTCTCTCGCCATCTCCAGCTCCTTTGACTTTTCCTTCTATGATTACGTGATTTCCACTTACTAATGTCTCTGACAGATCTTCCTGTCATTTTGTATAAGTGAGAAGAAAAAACGTCGCGACATGATACGAAATGTTTGCATTTCACTCGAAAAATCTTTGTAAAAAAAAAAAAAACGTCGTTATTTGTCGCGTACATATTTTTATTGGCACTCGATAATAAATTTTATATAATCATCGTAACATACGCGTCGATTTATTTCTACGCGCGGCGCGTTTTCACGAGTAGCTATCAAGGGCCAGTTTCAGCCCCATCGAGAAAGAGAGTTGCTCGCAACTGCGCTCGCGACCCTGCTGTTTCCATTAAACTTCACGTTTCCGGAACTCCATTAAAGTGAAAATCAGACCGCCTAATGTAATGCCCATTTCGTACAACAACGTTCCTATTATCGCCCCAAAGTGTCCGGTTTTGCGAAATCGAGGACGTTTGTTTACGCCACTTGACTGCTTGAGAGAGCTTTGAACAACGATGGGACGACTTAAGTAGAGAAATTAAAATTAGCGAATGAATTATAAATTGTTGCGAAATACGCGTGGCAACTCGGTAATCAACAATTTAACAACTTTCTTAATGCATTTTTATTTGTGTAATATATTTGTACGTGCACGTAAAAAGATCCTGCGATAATGATATAATGGAATGAAACCGAGAATAATCCAATCGATAATCAATAGAGAAGAAAGAAGAGGAATAAAGTCCGGGGTATAAATGTTTTAAAATAGCAAATGAACTTAGCGTGCTATCTGCAATAAAAATTTATTTTATTATGTATAACATATTCGCGAAATTAAATTTGGAGCGCGGAAATTGGGACGTGTATGTATATACGCTGGCATTTGTGCAAAGAGACTAATAATAAGATGTCTAGTTCTCAAATAGAAAGAAGGAAATTATTGAGATAAAAAAAGAAAATTTAATTAAAAAAATAACAATACGTAAGTTTTAATTCGAAATTTTCTCGGGAAATGCTCATTTGCATTCTGAATTTATTCTTAATTATACCGGCCACAAAATAAAAAACACAAATTAAAATTAATTTCGTAAAAGCTCAGAATATGCGCACCTACCATTTTCAAATGATAAAAAATGCGCGAGTTTCTCTCACGTAATTATAAATTTAATTTATATCGGTTAATCGATTTTCATTTAATAATTTAAAAATATTTTTAATTAATCCAGGATTTCAAAGTTCTGTATGAAAGACTTTTTATATATGTTAGATAGGAAAATTGAATTATCTAATGATACTTCTTATACCTCTTAGCCTGTAGTCGCGCTGACGTCATCATTATGGATAATATTTACTTCTTAAACACAAGGTATCTACGGACGGAAACTGGTCAACGTTTGCAGATGGCTAATATTTATTTTAGCCGATTATCAATTGTTAATGTTGACGCAAACGTTTTGCACACAAACGACTAATATATATATATATATATATATATATATATATATATATATATATATATAATACACGCGATAGATGTTAATTATTCTTGAATATGGTTGTCCACATGGGAATAATTAGTGTTCCTCTTGAGGTTTACGCGCGGACATGCTAGAATATGAATCACTAGCTACGGATATGGATAAATTCAGGTCTACGGCTACGGTGCGCCAAATTGTGAAGCAAATTAGCTAAATCGATCCGAAAATAGTGTAGCGTCCTAAATTAATTTCAATGTTAGAAAATATATATATTAAAAAATATATACACATATTCGCATATTAGCGCGTAAATCGGGTTTTTAGCATTTTTTAACATTTACGCGATTAAGTATTAAATCAACTCAACTCAAATATCAGGAAACGCTCTTCCATAAATGTTGGGTAATATCTAGATACATTTTGTGTATCTGCGTACATTTTGTATTTGAGATATATTTGATCTGTATCTAGATACAAAACATGATATCTGAATTGCCTTTTTCAGATACATTTTCATATATTTTTTTGAATAGCCCAATTCTTTAAATTTTTAAAAGATCAAGACTGCAAGTTATCAACATGTCGTCATCAACATCGGTTGAGCGATTATTAAGCATTTAGTGTCATGGCGAAATAGTTTGAGTGACGATATCTTTGAGGCATTTTTCACGTGTTAAGACTAACGAATAAAATTGTAATATAAACAGAAATATTAATAAAGATAAAAGAATTATTCAATACATTTTGTGCATATTACCATTATTATAAAAATATAATTTAATAAAATATAATTTAAAGTATCTGATATGAAGCTGAGACACTTTTAAAGTATCTGAGTCTCTGTATCCATATACATTTTAATTTGTGTATATATCTCGAGATACATTTGAAATGTATCTTACCCATCACCATCACTGCTTCCGATACAGCTTATTCTAATTCGCCTGGCTCAAAAATAGCATCCAAATTGCGGAATAGATAGAATCCAAATCTCCCCACGGGAGAAACACGTGATCGTGCTCTGGGGGCTGGTAACGCATGAATTACTATCGTCGAGTGCTGCAGATAAAGGGCTAGACTCGCGGCGACGAGCAGAATCGGCATGGAGCGGATTAGGCAGATTAAACAGATTAAGCCGAAGCAGCAGGGGGCCGTTTGCCTGCCTCTTGGCACAGGGGACCGTTCAACCTCGCGCCGCCGTATCAACGTCAACGCCCCAAACTTCGCGATAAGGAACCACCTCGGTAAAGTCGACGCGTGTGTATTATATACGTAATGTGTACGCTATATCCGAAATCTCGAATTTCACGCGAATTTCCCGATATCGTTGCATTCGATGCCATACTTCTCAATAATTCATGAATTTACAACGCGCTGTTATCGAAGTCATATCGTTCTGGCTTGCATATAAGCTTGTATATTTGTAAACGGTATAGTGAAGATTATATGAACGGTTTCCAGATTAATTATGAACGTTGTTTGTAAAATATAAATAATTATATTTTGTCATTTTGTCAGATAAAAAAATATGATGGCACCTTTTGCCCTATACAGTTGCGTCGAGTCATGTGAAGATTGTATGAATGGTTTCCAGATTAATTATATAAACTTTGTAAAATATCAATAATTATTTTGTCAGCGATAAAAAAAAATATGATGGCACCTTTTGCCCTACAGTTACGTCATCTCAAGGACGCTGGAAATTGGATTTCGGTTAGGGAAAAATGGCGGAATACATTGGCGTATCCTACAAAAATTCCAAGCACGCAATCGACGGAGCAAACATCAAGGGTGTACCTTCGAAAGTGCCG